CACAACTGACATTTCTTATAATATTATCCTTCACCACCAACTTTTACAAACTTCAACAAAATTTCACAAAATATTTTACTTCAATCTTCAAACTAATCTCAACAATGTTCACTTCTATTTTATAAACATTTTATTTTTTATTGAATCATTATATGAGGCATTCATATTTGCAGAGGTTTCAAGCACTAAACTTCACATCATCGCTTCTACATCTTCCTCACCAACTTCCTCCTCCGGACACTCACTACCTTCAAATATTATTTGCAATCATGATATTTACAGTAAAATGTTGATCAGATGTTGAAGTTCTTTTTCATTTTAAAAATATAAATTCATGCTTTATAAACTTCAAATGAAGTATTGAGTCGTGTTTTGATGAATGGACGAAGTTTGAGATAATGATGAAAGGCATGCTTAACACAAATAATTAGATATATTTTTAATGTTTTTACAGTTTTTAATTTTTTTCCTCATTTGAACATTTTAATTATGACATTTTTGCTTAAACCATCGAAGAGTATTATTTTTTTACTGTTGTTGTTATTACTCTGGTATGGAGCCAGGAATATTGCCCAATTAATACATCTCAACATTCACCACTGCCTATCATCTTCCGTTCGTGTAATCAGTGGCGGCGTATTTTTATTTTGCATAATTTTCGCAATTTCATTGATTCAACATAAAAACGTCCCAAAATTAATTATAATTGCTCAGTTGTCGTTTTATGAGGATGGGTGAAGATTAGTTGGGAAGTCTCAAAACATACCTGACATTGACTATAGGAAATGTAAAATCTATCTTCTAATTTTTAAACAACATTGCCGCATGAAGTTGTTGCAGTCCGCGTCAAAACTGAAAAAAATCCTCGTTATAAACAATACTTTACAGTCATCAGAGCATTATGAAGTCTGATCAAGAAAGGCTTGGAGCGATAAAAGAAGGCGATTAAATGGAAAGTAGCGACCAGGAAAACAAAGTCGTGAGATGGCCGCGAAGATGGTCGGTCGTAAATAACGGTTAACTTGTAAAACTTACTTTCAAAATAGAAAAAAATATCGAAACGCGTGACCACTAACGGCGCAAGCACACGTCATGAATGATCAAAAGTTGTAAAAGCAATTTAAAAATGTTTCGAACATTTAGCGGGATATAAATCTAATTAACCTTATGAAAACGGCACTCGACAAAAAAATGCCATCACGTCATTTCGACGTCATGCTTAAGTCATGATGGAAGCAAAACTTTTTAAATAAATGTTACTCAACATAAGTTGCACCCCTAATCAGACAACAACATCTGTAAGGTTGAGTTTGATGGGGTTAGCAAAGGTCCTTGTCGATTCTGTAAGGAAATGAATTGATGATTATTTTCACAATAAATAATTTTGTGCCATTAAAACAGTATTTATCATTTTATTTATTTATTTTTTATTAATTTATTTTTAATGTGCACTAATCATTAAAAACTTGAAATTTATAATAAAATAAAAGATTCAAAGAGCTAGCAGCTGAACTTATAGACACACGCAAGTGCAAAGAAGCTTCACCGAAGGTATAATTTTGCACTGGTACGTAAGGTCGGTGCAGATGACAATCACTCTTATTTATAATATCTGCAAACGATTATTTTCCGATGAAACCTCCAACAGGTAACTAATTAAAAATAAGTTCTCTAAAAAAACCTCCCTACCGAGTTTGGCGGGTTTGTCTGGTACGCACAAACAAAACATGAACTAATTAGCAACACAAATAGGTGTCCCTGGTTGAAAGCCGACAGATGGATAAAAGAACCACACTTTTAATAAGTTCACTTACCAACAAATTTTTATCAGCGTATTATTTTTGATTAAATTTATATCAATCTTTCTAAAACTCTGTTAACAAGATATAATTTATAACTTATTGCAACTGGAGTGTCGAAGTCGTTCAGAGATTTATGTCGGAGTCTGAACTTTTTTAGAGCACAAAAAAGTTATTTATTTGAAAAAAAATTTTTTTCAGAACAATTATTTTAGGATTGTGTTTTTTAGAGAATAAATATGTAGCGATAAGCAATCAGCTTTAATACTGAAAATAAATGCTAATAGTGTGAATAAAATCACTTAATTTTCTTTCAGTATGTTGTAAAACATAAAAATGAAGTAATTTTGCTATGAAAACTATTACATTGACTGATTTCAAGTGGTTTTAAAGTATTTTTATTTAGTAGTGATATTATTTAGTATTATATTATGATACAAAAGTTGAAAAATAATTTTGGAATTGAGAAACCGGAGTTGGAGTCGGGAGTAGGAGTCGGAAAATTTTACCCGGAGTCGGATTTTTTTTGAAGGGCCGGAATCGGACTCGGAGTCGGATATTTGTTTCCACCTCCGACACGCTGATCACCACTTCAACATGAAAAGAAATGATGAGTAACAGACTAATTAATAACTGTTCAATTAATTTCAAAAACAAATGCCATCCAATAACACCGACAAACGCATCTCCCCACAACACAGGATACCCATACCACAAGCTGATGAATCGAACGTTGTACCTGCAAGTCATGGACTACGACAGGTTCAGCAGGGACGACCCCATAGGGGAGGTCTGCGTGCCCCTCAACGACATCGACCTCTCCAACAACCAGGCCATCTGGAGGGATCTGCAACCGTGTAAAGGACACACGGTTGGAATGATTTTAACTTTTTCATGTACATCCACTCAATCATACTCTTTCTCCCTCTCTCTCTCTCTTTTTTCTCTCTCTCACACACACACACTCTTTTTTTCTTTCTCTCTCACACACTCACACATAAAATGTATATGTACGTATTTATCCATATAATGTATAATTTTATATGTTTACATATATATATATAACATGTTAATGAAAGAGATATATGTGTGACCGTATACATGCACACATATTTACAGTCAGAGTCAATGATATAAACAAACAACATGCACATACACACACACACACACACACACACACACAGACACCACATAAATTTATAATGGCTGCATTGTGGTTTGATTTTACGAGAGTAACAATCAAATTGCCCATTAGTATAAGTTGGATCAGGTGGAAATATTGATGATGACGATGATGGTAATAGTGATGATGATGATAATGGGGAAGATGATAATGACGATGATGACGACGACGATGTTGATGATGGTGATAACGATGATGATAATGATGATGTTGATACTTCTTAAGCTAACTTAATGTTGTCTTAGTCTGAAGAGAATTTAATTTTAGGCAACTCGAACATCACTAAAATATACTGATCAGCGCACTGGCGATTGAATTAAGAGTTTAATTACTATTCACAGTGCGCTTATTGCTTTCTCTATTTCACATTCCCATGCACACACACACACACACATATACATACATACACGCACACACATATACACACATTCTCTCTCATACACACACTCTATCTATCTCTCATTTTCTCTCTCTCTCATCCTCTCTCACACACATACACAAAAACACCAAAAGTTTTTCAGTCTGTATTATTTACCAAAATTTTTAAACGGCATTTTTGCCTTAAAACATAAATATAAATATATGAATGAATAAACAACATTTATCTATTGAAACTGTCCCGTTATGTTAGATATACACAAAAATAAATGAGAAAAAATCTTTTCACGCTTCGCAATATCCATCCATCCATCCATCTATCTATCCATCCATCTATCTATCCATCCATCCATCCATCTATCCATCCATCCATCCATCCATCCATTCATCCATCATTGTTTTTTTCCTACTTAAACGTAGATATCATGTCCACCTGACGATGATATCTTCTGTTTATTTAGTAGTTTAATTAATACCAACATTATCGTCATCATCGTCCTACTTGTCATAGTCAGCATCATCGTTTACCCATTAAGAACGACCTCAACTGCGTTTTGTGGTTCCATCGTCACTGTTCTTATAATTACTATCATCAATATATTATCACCATTTTGGCATCCTTATTCATTACCATACCAACATCATAAGTAACCACGTGACATGTTTTCTTCTACTGCCATTAGCAGTGACTACTTTTTGGACAAAATCTCAGACAGACAGATGAGTTAGCAGACATTACAAACAGTTGTTCAATTTATTAGCTCTCTAAAATCATACTCTCATTGTAAAATTCTTTCATTGGTGTCCTAGTGTACTTTAGTTGCACAGTTGCACCTACTTGTGTTGTTAGGTTGTACTTATGTTGTTTTACAGTTTTACATGCGTTTTACAGTTGTTTATTTACCTAATGATGAAAAAAGTTCACCTGACTTCCTTTATTTTTAAACTTCATTAGCAGTTTATAACTGGTGCATCGTTATCGGCCGGCTGTTAATTCATCAATGTGGTGGATGTAGTACAATTGAGGAGATGAATGTGGTGTGGTGAACGTAATACCATTAATGTGATGGTGTGGTGTAGTACAGTTAATGTTGTAAATTTGGTACAATTGATGTTGTGAATGTGGTACAATTGATGTGGTGAATGTGCTACAATTGATGTGAGGGTGTGCAGTAGTAAAATTGATGAAGTAGGTATAGTACAAAATGTGTGAATCTGGATATAGTCCATTAGTACCAGTGTTTGAGTTTATGAATGCGCGTACGAATGGGCGGGTAAAAATGTGTGCAAGTTTATCAAGTTTGTTCGTGGAATGGTCAAATTTTTTTAGTTTTATTGGCTGGAAATGACGTCACCAGAAGGCAGAACTTAATTGGCGAATAAAAACCTGGTGTAACAAAAAAGCAACGTTATATTGGTAGCTTATAAGTTGCTTACACGTGTATGCAGCAACTGAGACGCGCATAATAAAATTAAATGATGCAACTATTAAATCTTTATCTTTCATTCTATGTGAAAGTGAACGATCAGCAGTATTTTGATCTGTTTTATGAGGTTCTTATGTTGTTGTTGTTTATGAGGTTCGTATGCTGTTGTTTTTATTTATGTGGTTTTTATTTTTTTGTTGTTTATGTGTTTTTACAATGTTCGACCACACATATTTCTACCTGTCCACTTTCTCTGATTTGTTGTGTCGGCGTTAATTGCTCGCAAGAATAATTTTATTACAGAGCGTTCGACAGCGCCTGCTGTGCTAGCCACTAGTTTTTGTCTCTCAAAATTTGTTTCAAAAAATGAAATTTTAGAAATTTTCAATTGAAAACATGTCACATTCTCAAGTAAAATATTTTTTCAAATGGAATTGTTGAAAAAAATTGTAATTATACCATTGTTTGGCAGAGAAACGTTTGAAAATTGCATTTCAAATTTTATTTTAATTTTCATGCGTAGACGAATAAATTATGAATATAACAGGAATATATGATATATAAGATATATTACATATATATTATTAATGATATATATATATATATATATATATATATATATATATACATATACATATATATATTGAAGCTTCCAACAATCGTCAAGTGTTCGTTATTCCGTAGATTCAAGATTTCTTATAGATGAACACAACTGCTTCGAACGCAAACTGGGTTGAACATTTATTTGAATGTCAACAGTAATAGAAGCAATAAACTAATCCAAGTAGCTACGTAAATTACAAAGAAAACTTCGCTTCAAAACCTCATTTTCGACATCGCTTCTTCTGCTCGTTAAGTACAAGATATTCCAATATATAATCCAAATATGTAATCCAAAGATTACAAATATAGAAAAGATAACAAATATAACGAGATGACATTAATAATTATATAGCGTAATTCCACCATTCCAGCAGTTACAACAGTATTTTACGTTCGAAAAAGTCATTTTAAAAATCAATTCATACAAAATGAACCAGGGCAAATTAGGAGAATTATTCATCGGTCTGTGCTACCAACCAACCCACGGCCAGATAACAGTGTTTGTGAACAGCGCACGACAGCTAAAGGCCAAAGACATCAACGGACTTTCCGGTGAGAGATATATAGATTTCATTCCGAAGGTCGCTTGCCTCAAATTCTGTCAAATTATTTGTTTGTTTGTTTGTTTGTTTGTTTGTTTGTATGTTTGTTTGTTTGTTTGTTTTTTTGTTTGTTTGTTTGTTTGTTTTTTTGTTTTTTTGTTTGTTTGTTTGTTTGTAATTCATTGCATCTGATCCTGTTATACGAGTTCCCTCAAAAATAAGAGCATTTAATGAAAAATCCACTTTAAATTATAAAATTATTTTAATAATATAAATTTTATTAACATTCAATTGTGACTACAACAATTCATAATTAATGAGTAACACATTTTCAGTGACCACTGAAATGTTTTTTAAAGGAACATGCAATAAATAATTGAAAGATGTCACCGCCGCACACGCCACACAGATCCCTACGTGAAGATATGGCTGACACACGACGGCAAGCGAGTGGAGAAAAAGAAGACAGTCGTCATCGAGAAGTGTTTGAACCCGACGTTCAACGAGTCCTTCGTGTTCGACGTTCCTTACGAGAAGATCCGGCAGACGAGTTTGGTGGTGAGTGTCATGGATTACGACAGGATGGGCAGGAACGAAAAAATAGGTCAGGTCGTGCTCGGCAGCAAAAGTGGGCCGATGGAGGTCAAACATTGGAATGAGATGTTTCAGAAGGCCAGACAACCTGTTTATCAGTGGCACATTCTCAAAGATTTTGGCTGATTGTACTCGGATGTCATGTTGATTTGTTTTGTTCTGTTGTTGTCGGGCGTTGAGGTTGTTTCGAAAATGGTGCTCTGGTGTTTTGTAGGGTAAGTTTGTCGTTTGCAATGAACATGTTGCCGTCGTTGCTGCTTGTGATGTTGTTTGTGATCATGTTTGTGATGTTGTTTGTAAATGTTTACATAACAATGTTGTTTCTGCTGATGATTAAGTTATAAAGGTGAAATGGTTATTTAGTTTTATGTGGATGTTGTTGTATGAAGAGTAAAGGCATTGCGTTGTTGATGCAAAATGATGTCCCATGCAAAATGATACAACGACGTTGTTGTTTGCATGCATGGAGGTAGTTTTATCTGTGAGAATGATGACGACGATTATGATAAGGATGAGGATGAAGATGACGATGCTGGTGATATTATGTATACATAAGCGATGAAATTGTTTCTATGGTGATATGTTGTTGCACAGATGATTTTTTTATTTCCGTGTTGTTGCTTTTGTTTTAAATGCTAATGTTGTTTTAACGGCGACGCCGATGCTTGCATGATGAATGTGTTGTTGTTTGTTGTTGTTTGCTGTCTACTGTCTATACGCTGCACTTGATCTTGTGCTGACTGAGTTAGTTCTTACTAAGCTATCGTCTTTTTGTCATAATGTTTACTTACGTAACTTGTATACATAAATCTCGTTGTTGTTGTTGTTGATGTTGTAGCTGTTGTTGATTTTGTTGATATGTTGTGCATGAATTGTTTTTGGTGTTTTTGATGATGATGATGATATTGCTGTTGTTGCTGCTGTTGTTGCTGCTGTTGTTGCTGTTTATGTTGTTGTTTATTGTTGTTGCTTTTCTTATTGATTATATCACACGCGTCTTATAAATGGTCCGAACGAACGAACGAATGAAAGTCAATGTCCTCGATAATGATAACGATGAAAAATAATGATGTCCCCACGGAGATGCTAATGTCAAATGATCAGGATAATGACAATGATGATGATGATGTGATGATTATGATTAATAAAATGAAGATTACATCAGGAGGGTAGTTAAATAGTGATGCTGATGATAACGATGGTGGTGATGATGATGAAGTTTTTGTTGCTGTAATGATGATGTTGACGATGAGATGATGAAGATGATCAATACGAAATGATGAATAATGAAGATATAGATGATGTTAACGAAGACAGTCAAAATAGTGTTCAATTGAGCATCTTAAAAACGAGATGATAGATGATCTTGTCCGAAATTAAATATATTTAAATATTTTTCTGAGCTATTTTTGGAAAAAATACGTTGTTATAAATAACGCCACACACATACATACACAACACACACACACACTCACACACACACATAAACCACACACATTAACACACACACATTAACACATATACACACACGCACAGACGCAAAAAACCCCAAGAACTACCTTGAAATTTTTAAATATTCAAATGTTTTTGTAAAATTTTTGCATGTAGAATTTTCAAGATTTCAATCGGTTAACATTTTAAAATTCAGTACTGAAAATTAAAAAAAAAATTAATAAACCTTGTTTGTAAAAAAATTACAAAAGCGAGGCAAGCTGATTAACCTCAATGATAATATTAATTTATATCTATAAACTGGACAAGATGATATTTTATTAGATATATTTCAAAATTCAACTTTTTAATCTGTAGATAACTCACCAACATTCGCAATCCCTCAAACATACACACGTTAACATTTATTTATCATACTTCATTTTTTTCAACTTTATTTAGATCGTGATTTGTTACGTTCGTACCCGTGTCAGCACTGCACTCTCTTGTTTCAACATTAGAAGGTTTAACATGGCACTATGTCTTTGTTTGTGCAAATCCTCTTACAATTATTTCCTACATATATAATGTATATTTCTATTCATGGTATATGCAGATATTGATATTCAATGTAAACCATTCATTTTGTAAACACATTATAGCAAATATGTTATATGAAAAGTGTAATGTTTGTCGTCAATCAATGAACGAACATTGTAAACATCAGATCAGATTGTTATTGCTTCGTTAAAAGCATTAAACGCTAATAATTCGTTCTAAAGATCTTATCAATTTTTATATTTTAAAAATTTAACGACTGTGGTACAAACAGAAATGTTCACATGCAACAACATGATCGTCAAACAATGAAAAAGTGGCCGCATGTTTGCTGCCATTAAGTTACACCAAATATTTTTCAATTCCTTCCAGCAACCAAATACAAACAAACGAAGTCTCCATGCACTGCGCATCTACAGCAGGTGATCATCGTTTAATGCCATCAAATGGAAATTCCGTGAATGGCATCCGGATATTTGGCATCGTGGAGACAATGATCCCACGAAACGGTAAACGTGAAACAGGACTGCGCGGAAACTGCAAACATGTACGTTTTGATAAGTGAGATCTTCATCATGATATAAGTGTACCAACCACATCAACTGAGATTGTTGCAACACATGCAAGTAATAACACACGGACACATTAATAGTTAGAACTCATAAAATAGATAAACAAGCAATAATCAATTAATTTGGGAAGATTAAAATGAAAAACTCATATTAAAAAATTTTTTTTAATTTATAGAATAATCATAAATTAAAATTTTTTTAAAAACCGTTTTAGTTTATGGGTAAGTTGGATTTGTTTTTGTTTTTAACTTTGAATACTGTTCAGGTGACAACAATGTTTTTTTGACGTTGTAAATAGTTAAAATGTCACTAGAATTTACTCAAACTAACTCTCTTAATTTTTTTAACTCTTCCGTTTTCTCAAAAAAATATTGATAAAAAATGAATACATTAGAAGCCGCATTAAAAACATTAGGACTAGTGCATTTTTCAGTTACAACTGTTGATAACATCAAACAAAAAAAGCAGCATCAATGTCAATTTATCCGCAAAACTACATACAGCCTCTTAAAAACGTGCACCGGCATAGAAATGAACTGGGACATTCTACATTCATACACAAGCACACTGACATATAATCGTTCGTATGCAGCAAGCTGCCAAACCTATCGGCCAAATATTGTTAACGGTGTCAGATAACATAAAAGATGATTAAGAGTTTTTTTCGGAATGGTTATAAAATATGAATTGGGCATTTTTAGTGTAAAACAAGTAATTTTTAAAATTAAGTATTTCAGTCAGGTTTTTGTCTTAAACAGTCAATTTGTCGTTACATATTGATACATTTTTGAAGCATACTTACTGGTTTTTTTTGTAAAATTATTATCAATCAGCTAGTCAACCAAATAAAATATATTTTCGTGATGTCAAACAAAATTAATAAATTCCTTCTACATTTTCCGTTGTCTTGAGCGAAGTGACTGTAAGGACAAGACATTAATCGTACAACTTTTCGGACAAGACTAACTGCTGAAACATAATAATACAACAGTAGAACAGAATCAAAACAAAGTGTAACCATTATTGTGGAATTAGCTATGTATTAAAAAAAACAGGATATTAGGAACAACGGAAACCACTTAGCTCCTTATAAAACATACTTTTATGAAAAAAAATTAAAAGTCTGGTTATTCGATTTCGAAAAAGTTGTATAATACATAGTAATCCAAAATCATTTGGTTTTTAAAACCAAAGCGATACTTTAAAAATTTTAATTACCGATGGTAACAACTCCTCCAATGCTTCCATGTTCACCGCATGATCAGAACATTCTTCGCAACTAACTTGAATGTCGTAAACAAACATTATTACGTCATTGCCACAACCGTCCGTATTGAAGTCATCATCACATAACCATTATTTTTGTTACAGACATTTTTGCTCTAAGTATTTTATTTTAAAACATTTTTTCATCTTTTTTTGAAGAAATAAATTTGATAACGTTCATGGAAGCATTATCCTAAAAGTCATCATCAGCAACAACGAGTTTCTGAAAACAATCTTTCGCGTGAAATTTTTTATGCAGACGATGACGAATGATCATGAAGCGTTGGCAGAAAGCTGCATCATCATTATTGAGTGCAATCTCGCATGTTCTTCTCATTTAATCGAACAACTTTTCAGATAAAAATTTACGTTCTCCCGTCCTATATAGATTCTTATTGCAGATTTATGTTCGTCGCCAGCCGGCGGGGATTCTAATTTTAAAATGATGTTCAGCCGTGCGGCATAGATTCTAATTTTGAGATTCATTTTCAGGCAACACCCACCTTCATCCATCTTTTTATTTATCCATCCATCTAACCATCCAACCATCTCTCCTTCCTGTTATCCATTCATCCTCCTATCCACCTGACACCGAGTTATAAATCAATTTCATTTTTATTTAAAATTTCATAACGCGCAAGAACCGAAGTGCATGTTCGCTCCGTCCATATCATGATCAATTGCTCCCCTCTATTCAACGCGCCGACCAATTTTTATGCTATGTTTACGCTGGTTTCGGCAAACTTAGAAAATTGTAAAAAAATGCATAGAAAAAAAATTATCATAAAATTTACTCGAACTGCCGTGTAAAATAACAATAAGCAACCAGAATAAATGAAGACGAGTATTGAAAGCAGTGACGACCGTAGCACAAATCTCAGAAGAAGTAAGTAATCTCACTAGTAGCATCAATAAGAGAAATTTCATCATTAACAGCTCGTCGTAAGCAACATCATCCATCATTATTTCCTTCCATATTAACATCCATTATCATTAACGTTATTTTAAGACTAATCTCCACCTAATTCTCGCACCTCATATTGCAAGCAGGTACACACCACACACACACGCACACACATATGTTTGTATATATATATATATATATATATATATATATATAATAAATAATACATGGAATATCTGCAACCATGATGACGTCGTCACTGTCCTCCAACCATTTCATCGAGGTGAATGAAGTTTCCATATTAAATAATATTTGTTGCGTATAAAATTTACACGCTACACTTTCCTCACCACTTATCCCACAGCAACATGCGTTTGTTATGGATGATGAGGATGATCAAAATACAAAAAAACGTCACAAGAAGAAAAATTCGAAAATATCATTTTTGCAGTTTTTATGGGCATCTTTGTTGTCGACAATTTTTGCCTTATCTCATTTTTCATAGATAGCAGACAGGCCGCTGGATGGAACGTTCATATTCAATCCTCACTTCTTCATCTTCCTCATCATCTTCTTCTTTTCATTTTTTATCTTATGAGTTATTTTCATGACACAAATTTTATTTCGATGTTATTTAATAGGATCAGTTCTTCATACTAACCCATATTCAGCACTACCCTTTAAAATTTGAAACGTAGCTTATCGCAATCGACAACATCAAAACTAGATCAAAAATTCATTTCATTTAAAGATAAAAGTAAAAACAAAAAATATCGTGCCTCGCAAAAATTGGACTCGTGTTTATTTCCCATTCATCAAATAGGTTCCCTCAGCTCGAGTGTAACGTAACACAACATCACACATATAAAAAGGAGCTATTTGGGCTAAACACACGACATACATAAAAGCCTACATTTAACGTGTGTAACTCTCACACGAACGAAACTTTAAATAAAAGAAATAAAGATACTTTGAATAAACGCTTGTATACAGATGCCTTACATAGAACGCAACATTGCTCAGAAACATACATATGAAGAAACGTGTGAAGCGGCCCGTAGGCATAAATTACACTGCACAGATGAGCAACACAAAATTTGCTATTAATGCATCCTGGCGTCTGTCAAGCACGACCTAACAAAATCTCTTTTGTGCAAAGAAAAAGAAAGAAACGGAAAGTTCTAAAGTAAAAAGTTAGCATCACACGTGGAAATATATTAGGATGTCCCGAATAGTAAAAACGAAACAAGATTTTTCTTCCACACAAAATGTTAACATAGTTATATGGACGCACATACCAAATGCGATTAACCATCGCTTTCAAATGTTTCCTTTAGTTTAGGTTATAAGATTTGAGGTCTTACTGTTGTGAGAAATAAAATTCATTATTATTTTTTGATCTTTCATTTACCAGATCACGTGACGGTTTAAAAAGATTATTTATTTACTAATTCAGTGAAAGACTAGCCGTAAAATAGAAATAATGCAAACAAAAGTAAGAAACATCCGTAGTTATAATCTGTAGTTTTAATCTGTTTTACAATCTATTCTATTTGAGAAATCAAAAACAACAAGAATGACTCGTGGACATTGAACGCAATTAAGAGAGGCGTAACTTGATTCATGCCCTACAAAGCAATTTGGTACTTGAACAAATTGGAACGAAACGTAACGGACACAACAGCCAGAATCTTGCTGGAGATGGAGTGAGGCTCAACAAAAGCAGACGACGATCTTTTTGTATTTTGCTTACAGGGAAAATTTTGAGTTTACCAGCTATTTGTCATATTGTGGGCCTAGGAAAGACATACACTATATACATTTTTTTGGAAATTTATTCCAGTGAGAGCTAGTGACTTCAAACACATGATCTTAACCAGAGTGCTGGAGTCGGTCGGAGCCGGAAAATTTTAGAGTTGAAATTTTAGATTTGAAATTTTTGAGGTGCCGGATATTTTTCATCCGACACCGACACCCTGGTTAAATATTAATTATCATCAGCAGAAATCAGCATGCCTAGCGATCTGACTAGTGACCACGTCTCAGCTGCCTGGTTCCAGTCGTTACAGATTGCATGCGGATAATGATAATCCATGCTGTATTTTCAACGTACAACCCAGACATATACATCTTCGCCATTTCAATTTTTTATTTTTGAAGGGAAAAGGCTGGCAGCTAAAATTTCAAGCTTTTGAAATGAAAATTATTTTCATTAATTAGTATGAAAACTGTGAAAATCGAATATTCAAGAAAATATCCTTTCAAAACTATTTACAGCGCTTGAATAAATAAATGAAAAAATAAAAAAAATATATAATTTATTTTCTCCTAGTTATTTAATATCCGAAATTTGGTGTACAACTTAGTTGCATGCTTGTGTGTGCTGAAGTGTGTCAGTGTTGTCTTTTTTTATTCTTTATCTGCACATTTAAGAATGTGAGTATGTAAATAAATATAAATAAATAAGTGTACATGTGTGTGTATGTGTGTGCGTGTGTGTGTGTCTGTGTGCGTATGTGTGTGTGCGTGTGTGTACATGTTTAAATATTTGTTATTTGTTGAGAACAATGAGAGAAAAGAAGCCCATTAGAGATGAGGAGATGGAAATTTGAAGAATGTATTTGTGTGAAACAAAGGAATGGAATCTGGAGTGCCAGTTAAGTAACGCTGTAACGTTATCAAGCACCCATGCGACAACAAGTACTTTAATATTCATGGTAACAGTAATAAAATGATGTCAATTAAAATTATGAAAAAAATAATCCCCAAAAACAGAACCGCAAGTAAAAATGAATGATCGGATAAAAAATAAAACTAAAAACAATATGAAAATAATTGAATAATTATTTTCATATTGGGACTGATGTGAATAATTGTGAATGATTATGTTCGTGAATACAATTGGAGCACGAAATTAAAATTGCACGAGTATAAAGAAAGCTGACACGTTCAATGTTCCGACAAATTCACGTAAGCATTAATCAAACCATCAGCCGCTCGCTATCATCCACATTACACGACATCTCGGTTCAATGAAGAAATATCTTCCACTATTTTTTGAAAAATACAAAATGAAAAACCAGATTGAACTAGTGATACAACGATGTGAAGAAAAAAAAAGAAAGTTAATTTGAAGATGAAACATATGAACAAATTGTGTTAAAAAAAAAATTCCGATCGATTCAATCAATGTTAACAATTCTGCACAATAAATAAAAAACAATCTCTAGAGCTAAGTGGTTATGAAATTTTTAAAAAATTGTTAACACGACCAATATTTAAAATCAAATGAAAAATATACAAATCTTAATGCGAATTTTTAATTACTGAAGTACAAAAAAGTCTTGGAGCAGAACAACCTCGCCACTACCACTGCTGGAGCCTGTGATCACAAAAGTAACTCAAACATTTTTTAAAACATGTAGAAAAATGGCTCATGAAAGTTTAAAAGAAATTTTTAATGTATTAAATTAAAGATAATGAACTTAATAAAATATGAAGTAGACTGTAGTGTGGTAGTGAGTGATAAAGAGATGCTGATAACCGTGTGAATGCTTGGAACCATATATAAGATCAACGTTGGAAACATCCTTCATATAAAAGTGTAGAATACGTACAGAAGATAATACATGTGACTGAGCAATACTTCGTTCGATTGCAAGGTAGGTTACAAAAGAGTGCATCATGCAGGTTAACACACGCGCGCACGCACACACGCACACACACACATACAGACACACACAAAACAAATGAATCAACTATGTTGTAGAGTGTCTTTGGCTGACCACGTGTTGGAAGATAGAACCAGTGGAAGCACTCTTCCTACGAATGGAAGGCAGGAAATCATTTAAAGCAAATTATTGAATAAATATAATTATTCATTAAATAATTAAATTAACGAATCAATTTCAAAGTGAGAACGAAATTATTTTGTACGTAATAACGCAAACCTGCTAACACGAACGAAAGTAGCAAACAAACTCTTATGAATGAATGGAGGAAGGAAGGAGAGAATGCATGAATAAATATATGGGTAAATAAATTAATACAAAACTGAACGAATGATTGATTGAATGAGTGAATACTTGGATGAATACATGAATAGATTGAATGAATGAATGAATGAACGAACGAACGAACGAACGAACGAACGAACGATACATACATATAAGCCAATAGATGTGGAAGGAATGAATAGCAACAAGGCATCGCAACAACGGCACCATCAGTTAGTTAGCATTGATATTAAATGAGTACATGTTAAACAAGCAGCAAACAAGAAGCAATGATGTGGTGATGAAAAGTTATTAACATCAAATAATAATGATGAAGGTATGGAGAAGAAGTCTCGAGTTGATAAGAATAATAAAAAGGATGACATCAATTGTTATTATGAAAATTATAGAATAATGAAACGAATGAATAGCCATCATCATAATGATGGAATGATGACGTTGAATGAATATGATGGTGAATGACGATTGCTTGGTGATAATGATTGTGTGCTGCAAGTGATAACAACTGCAATGATATTCTAATGATTGCTCGCCTAATAACTGTGTTAAAAATAGTGATGAAATGATGATGAACAAAGAACTGAAGTTGAAATAATGATGACGGTGACGGCAGCACTAGCATTGGAGCATCATCATATCACCGTCTTGTCCTTCCGTTTTGAACCAAAGAACATCTGAAAGAAAATAAACAAGTATGCTAAAGATTTTACCACCATAATCATCATCATTGAAATCATCAACATATCATTATCATCATCGTCATAATCATCATTATGTGTATCATTATCAATATCACCATCTTCGTCCTTACAAATATTTTATTAGCACACGCGTTGAAAGTCAGTGAACAAAAATAATAAATGTTACATGGAAGCAATGAAAATGAAATGAACCAAAGAACAACTGACTGAAGCTTTCGTCTTGATGCTCTGCTGGCTTTCCATAATTTGCTTCTTTTCGTCCTCTGTGAACCTCATGACCGTGCATATCACTTTCGTCAGCGTCTGATGGAGTGAGAGAAGGAAGGAATGAACAAATAAAAGGATGAAAGAGGGAAGGAACTGACAAATAAACAAAAGAATGAACGAATGTAGAAATTTACAAATCAAAAAATGAATAATGTGGAAGGAAGCTTGCCTTTGTCTCCATGCCCAGCATGTATTTGAAAAGGATGTGCCTCAGGTACTGAATTATAAGCGAATAAATTAATATCAATACAAATATAATTAACCATTATTTAATAAATAAAAAAAAATTAATAATTTGATAATTATGAATAATTAATTACGAATAATTTATCAAATAATTTGAAAACATTCAAAGTGAAAAATATTTATTAAATTTGAATGAAAAAAAAAATCCAAAATGGAAAAAGCACATTGTTGAAAAATTTATTTGTCAGATAGCAAATTTATGAAACCTCCAATTCAGTTGGCTGAATGTTCAGAGCTGAGTACGCTTCTAACAAGGACTTGTGAAAGATTTTTGAGTTGGTTGATTAGTTAATTGTTAACATGAGATTGCTCTAAATAATACATTTGAGCACCATTAATTTTATAAGCCAAAATTTACTACTTTCAACATTAAGAATTTAAAACAAATATAAATAGAACCACTTGTTGAAAAGAATGCTGGAAACGAATGTTGCAAATGAATATTAAAAAAAACTAATTCTAATCACAATAAAGACTGATAAATAAGATTACCGTTAGATGCATGAAGTTAAAATGTTAAAATTACTAGGAAAAAGAGATGCAACAAAAAATTTTTTGTGAGAAACTTCTCAAAGTAGTTGTTGAAAAAAGAAAAGTTGTTTGAAACAAAACATGAATAAAAATTCAAAAAAAATGGAACATTGTTATTGCTATTGTTATATTAGAGAACACGGAGCTGGTGAAAGAAAAAATAGCAATTTGTGTGTGTGTGTGTGGAGCGTGTACGTGTATGTGTTTGTGTGTGTGTGTGTTTGTGGTTTGTGTGTGTGTGTGCGCGCGCGTAACCAGAAATTCAACATATGCAGGCTACAAAATTTGGCGAAAAGTATAAATTGAATCAGCAAACTATCAATAGACAGATGATTAGAGTAAATATTTGCTACCCCACATATCACAGCATTTAAGTAAGTAAGTGAGTAAGAGATTAACAAAAACAAATGCAAAACGTCATACTTCATTATCAGTGTTGTTGGCGTCGGAAACTTCGACGTCAATCAGTGACTCGTCGTTGAATGAGAGAAGTCGTTCCTGGTTTCTAAACTTTGAAAATTTGTTGCTACTGGCGTTGCAACTGCTCCGATTATTTTTATCACTACAATTCGTTGGCGATTTGTTGCCGACGATCTCATCAAAGTTGTCGATGATGTCGGCCAAACTGTCGTCCAGAGAATTGTTGTAATTTTTGTTACAGTCGTGTTTCTCTTCTAAATGTGAAAGATCATTTAGAAGGGATATGCTGTTGCAGTTGTTTTGGTTGGTGTCGTTGTTCTCGCTGACGTGGTTTGCTGTCTGGCTACTCGGTACTAAGATGGCTGCAATTTAAAAAAAAAATTCAATTAATTGAAGGTAATTACTGGCAAATAATAAACTGAAAGAAAACATATTCTATTCAAGAAGGAAACGAAAAAGAGCCATCCATAACAATCTTAACACACCAAACACATTGATACAAAACAGTCAAAATATAAACTATGTATCGAATGATTCATTGATCCGTTTTTAGAGCGTAAAATCATTTTAGACGATGATGAGTTTAAAGAATGGACTCTGTGTTGTTCAGACATGAACATGAGACATGAAGCATTCATAGAAGTTTATAATGCTAAGACTAGAAAATAAGTGAAATTATAAATAAACATCAGCTGAAAACAACATCAAAATTAAGTAAATGTGATAATAACCTGGTTCATGATGAATGTAATTAGTGCTAATATGTGACAACATTGTTGTTGTTGGTAGTGTTGGCGTTGTTGCTGTTGTTATTGTTGGCGAAGATGTTGTGGATGGTTTCGTGTCAAGTTCCACTTGTATACCTACATCAAAAGAAACTATCGGTGTCCTATTGATAATATTCCCAACATCTTTATCATCACTGCTGTTGTTGTTTATGGAGCTTACATTACGAAATGTCTTTGAATTGTTGTTGTTATAACTGTTCTTATGTTTCGTTACATCAAGCATAATATTAGGATTACCAATATTGCTGTCATATTGTCCAACAGGAGACATTTTAAGATCATGCTGACCAGCACTTTCAACGACATCGATGTTAATGTCGTTGGAGTTAACAATAAGGTTACAGTTATTGCTGTTATTGTTGTTGATGTTGTCATCGTCATTATTGTCCACAATAATGACATTTGTTTCAGAGTTGACGATCATTTCACTGGTCGAAATTACGTCATCAGATGATGTCATCACAACGTCATCACTCGCTGGTGTGATGTGGTTTGCGGCCACCTCGTTATTCGTTGTAGTGTCATCATTAGGAGAAGTATGTGTGGCTGGTGGTGGGTCAGTCTGCTTGTCCTTCAGATGTTGAAGTTGTGAGGTTAATGTGCATATCTGAGCCTCAAACTCTTGCAACTTTTCGTTCTTTTCTTGCAGCACTTTGTTGTGCATTTCATTCAGTTTTCTTACCTCTCTATTTCTCTCTAACGTAGAACAAAGTGTTGGTTTAGATTATGATTATGTCTTGTGATAGAGTTTTTACATTTTAGTGGCAGTGACATCGAAATGAATTGCGATGGTAATTAATTACTAACCGATGTCTTTTTCTTTTTTGAGGTTATCCAGCTTGATGTCCAGCAGGTTGTCCCTCTCCTGCAGGATGGATTCGTGGTTCTCTCTCATCTTCTCCATCACCAGCTTCATCTAACATTCAAATGCAAATTGCAAACATCATGTCTTCACTCACGCGTTCACAGGTCTACTGTAGTACAGCATCATACTGTAACGGAATAATCTAGCCAGGCAGATTCAGACAAAATAAATAAACAAAACAGAAGAACAAATTAACTACAGGAACTCCTCTAAGTTGAAAACAAACAGAACGTACAAATGAACTGTCGTGTGGATGACCACTTCAAATTTAAACAACTTGACAACTAACCATCTCTCCTCAATCAGCATGATAACTATAACAAAATCATCTCCACAAACAGTTCACATAAAACCAGAAAACAAATGAAAACAAAATGAAAGAATTATCAAACTTTCAGCTGAGCCTCATCGAACTGGCTCCTGAAACTTTCTTTGAAAAACTGAACTTCCTGCCTGGACTTACGAATTTCTTCATTCAACTTGTCAATCTCATCAGCATGTTTCAACTTTAGTTCCTGCAGCTGAAACTCCATTTCGTTGTAAGAGGATGAAGACGATGACGGTGGTTGTGGTGAAGCAGGTCGAGTAACTTGTTGTAGTGAGGATGTTGTGACTGAGTTTTTATTTTGTTCTGAACTTTCATTCGGTGGACTATTGAGGATATTACAAATTGAAGCATAATTGTCTACAGCTTCTTTGTTCTCTGCAATGCATGCATTGTCGTTCACTTTATTTTTTTCATCAAGTTGCAGTTTCATTTCAGTTATTTTCTTCTTCGCTTCTTGAGAGAGTTGCCAAAATTTGTGATTCAACTCTTCAAAATCAGACTCTTTATCAGATAGAAGTTGTTTCAATTTGATGATTTCATTCTTTGCCTCATGAAGTTGTTCGTTGCTCCTATCAAGCTCCTTCATCTTTTCTTTCAGGACCATACTCTCAGAGTAACTCATGTTTGCAACTGAACAGCTGCCAACTTCATCTCCTAATTTTGACTCATTTGCATTATCAGCTTCAATTTTGACGGCGTTATTTTCGTTTGAATTCCTGACGATATCGCAGTGATCTCCACCGTCAATCAAATCATCACCAGCTTCAATGTCTTTTTCAAGAGCATCCCCATCAGATACCGATTTCAACTGTTTCATAACTCTTTTTAGTTTGCTATTTTTTTGCTCGAGCTCATATTTTAATGCATCAATGGTGCTCTGTGAAGAATTTTTTGTAAAGATGAGTTCATCCAGCAGTTCCTTCATATCATGCTGACTTGCATCCAACATATCCTTGAACTGACTCAACGTTAGTGAACTCTCCGACGTCACTCGATCCAGTTCAGAGGTCAGTTTTTCTTCTGTGCTGTTCAGTTGAGATCTCAGTTGCTGTTCTACTGTCGACAACTTCTCGTTTAATTCTCGAAGTTCCAATATTTCTGATAGATGTTCAACATTCTGCTTATTATGCTCCTTCTGTGCAAATATGAATGAACATTAAATGTCCTGCTAACTAGAAACATAAGATGGCGTCATGGTGATTAAAACTCTATGATGTAACATTATATTAACAATAGTAACAACGTAGTAAATGAGGTAATGCAGAAATAAACAAAAAGATCGAGTGATCACCAAACATGCTGTTCAAAAGCAAATGAAATTTTCTAACATTTGCTAGCAATGTTGAAAGTTCTTAGTAACGAGACACGATTATTACAATATAATAGTGGTTTAATTAAATAATGGTTGCAGATCAAAAGGTACAAACAAGAAGGACCTTCAACTTTTGAATGTCATCCTTCAATAACAGATTAGCCTCACTCAGAGCACATATTTCACTTTCCATTTTTTTTCTTGCTTCAACATTGATTGCCTCATTCTTACCTTTTTGTTATAAAATAACACAACTAAAACTTTGAAAAACAAATCTAAAAAGTTAATAAACTTACTTATTAAGTAAAATAATAATAATAAAAAGTGCAAAAGTACAATATTTTTCTCAAATGTTAATGCTCTTAGGTTTGACGTAATAATTCAAAAAATTTAAATGTATAAACTGAAAAGAAGCACCTTTGAGCTCCTCATATTGAAGCTTGATGCTTTCATTTTTCATGCTCAATTTTTCAATTTTATCTTGCAGTGCCAACATCCTGGAACATGCAGTGCTGTTTAGCTCTTCAATTTGCACAGTTAGTCGCTCGTTCAATTCAGTGGAGAACTCTTCAAACTTTTTATCTTTCGCGATGATGACGGACTGCAACTTGAAAGCCGAATCCACCTTCAACTTTTCAAATGCATTCATATGACGTTTGGTCAAAGAGTCAATGTCAGCCTGCTGTTGCATTCTTAAATTTGATAAGGCAACTTCATGCTGGGAAGTAAGTTCATTTTGTTTGATGGTTAACTTAGTAACGACATCCTTCAATTCGTCACCAGTGGAAAGTAACTTCAACTTCAATTCTTCGTTCTCCTAGATAACATCATTTGTAACAAAATGTAAAATAATGTTTAATAACATGAATATGACCAGACAATCAAAGCCCTTCAATGGTGCCAAAAACACTGTTCAAATGTTCAAAATTAGATTCCACTTGAAATGGTCTTCTTTCTACTTTACATCAACTAACCTACCTAATGCCGTTTCTGTGGCACAATATAAATGTAGATACATAAAATACATGAACACAGGTCAATGAAAATTTTTTGAAACATAAATTTATCAGTGACAATTTAATCATGATAAATGTAAAAGGCATATGATTTATGTAACGGGAGAATAAAGTGGAGTAACCTTGGATAGAATGGAGAGATCATTCTGCAGGGAGGTGACCTCATGTTGTAGCTGGTTCACAATCATCTTCCTCTGCAACTCCTGCTCCTCAGCTGCAAGCGCCATCTCTTCCTGCTCCCTCATCATCTCACTCATGTGCTCTTTCTCTTGAGAGCTTTTCTAAATTCATTCAACATGCAGCAGGTCATCCAACATCATTCAGCAGGTCATCCAACATCATTCAGCAGGTCATCCAACATCATTCAGCAGGTCATCCAACATCATTCAGCAGGTCATCCAACATCATGCATCTGATTATTCAAACAATGTCAGGCACCAGACAATTCAACGCCTAATGGGAAGTCATCCAAACAAAACAATTAACGATCTTGAAACGGGACTCACCCTTTCATTCCACTTGCCCTCCCACAGTTTGTCCCTCTCCAGGAGAGCTTCTTCTTTTTCTTTCTGAAGTTCAGAAATCCTATCAGACATCTGTTTCTATGTTTAAAGATTCAACTCATTAGTCAGCACTATTGATCAGTATTCAGAAAATTAATGACCATGCAATAACTCTTTACATCATTCTGCTTATTTTTTCGTTATATCTCTATTAGATAGAACATAGATAAGATATTGAATTGAATTGAAAAATGATTCATTTGGTCAAGATACAAACAGTATGTGCAAACAAAAAAACAAAATAAAAACTCTGCTTGCCTGCATAAGTTGAAGTGCTTCAACTTTGCCTCTCCTCAGTTCATGCAGTTCATCCAATTTCTCTTTCTCCATCCTTTCTTCTGTTGCTTGCACTTTTTCAGAAGCCTCTTGCTCAAGTGTTGTAATTCTTAACCTCAGCTTTGCAACTTCATCATTGCTTTCTTTACCTACAGTGAAATAGCTTTAATAACGACATGGCTGATAATTATTATATACATATATATGTGTTGCTTTTAAATTATATTGCAGCATATTTTATTGTTTCAAATAAAAATTGAAAAATGTTGAAGAAGAAGAAAATAATGACTTTGATGTTTGATAACAAGCAATTCAGCTTGCATTAGCTCCTTCTCTTCTGCTAACTCTTTTGCAACATGCATGCCTCTGATGACTTCCTGCTCCTTCTCTTCCAACAATCCATGCATTTCCTGCTTCACATTGGCAACATCCATCACTCTTTTAGATTCTGCAACTTCCAAACATTGCTCTAATGATGATATCCTTCCTTCTAAAGTTTTATTCAGCTCTGTCTTTTCATTCTGCAAATTTTTGTTTTAATTGATTAGATAATGCCACAATTAGAATTATAGAAAGAGTGCAACAAAACATTTTAGCTAAAGATAGTTATGTTATTGAAAACCGACATAGTTTTCAACTGGTTAAAATTTTGATTATATAATTTTTTAAATAAAATGAAATAACCATACCCTAGTGACGAAAAACTGACAACCTAATGAAAGCAAACAAATAATCAAATGCCCAACTAAACAACAAAAACTGTAGAAAAAAAAATGATTACTTTAACATCATCAATCTCCTTTGTTTTCAGTTCAATTTGTTGCATCAGATCATTTTTGTCATTGGACAGTATATGAATCTTTTCTTTAAGTGACTGAATCGTGTGTTTGCATTTTGAAAGCAACTCTTCTAACCTTTTTATCTATTCAAAAGTCAAATTAATTAAATTTTTAATTTATCAAGGTAATATATCTGAATTATTATGCATGCCACAAAGCATATGTCAATGAAGACTAAAGAATTGAACTTAATTATTAAAAAAATGAACATGACTGGCAGCAAACAGTCTTACTTTTTCTTTTTGTTCCAATTCAATAGAGAATGGGGCATTAGTAGTGGTAGTAGTATCAAAAGAAGATTCTACCTTCAACTCATTTTTGACCTCAGTTTCAGTTGTTTTCTTAATAAATGATTTTTTTAAAATAAATAAATTTAAGTCATAAATTACATTTGAACTTGACAACCTAATCTAATAGAAAATAGTTATACAAATTATATTCTAATAGTCTCTAGCTAAATTATTTTATTTTCATAGTAAATTCAATTAAAAAAACTGATTGGCACATTCCATTATGTTTTTATAATTTATGTAATTTGATAAATAACTCAATCCCATTAATCAAAAAATTATTAACACTAAAATTTAATTTCATTTCATTTTATTAAATATTAAATAATTTAAATAAAAAATTAATAACTGTTTTTTGATCAAGGTTTGTAGCTGGAACAGGTCTTGTTTTCAATGAACTATCACTAATTTTTTCCTTAAGATTTTTAAACATTTTAGGCAGTAGTAAAAAAAGGAAATAGAAAATATAAAAAAAAGACAAAAAAAATTAGTCCAGTTTAAATTTATTTAATTAATTATTTACAATTATGTGGCAACATAAAAATCTAAAAAAAAACAGAAACAATAACAAGATGATTATTTTCGGTTGTATGAAAACAGTAGTACACAGACTATGGAATGCTGGAAATAAAACTTGAAAACAAGTTGACTTATTATATAAATTTTTTTATGAATTTTTCAGCAACAGAGTTGAAATATAATAAAAAATCAACAAATTTGAATTGTTAATTTTAGTTATTATCATTACACCAAAGTTCATTGCTTATTCGAATTATGACGTAAAAACTTCTGTTGCGATAGTACCAAAATGGTTGATTCAAACGCTAGAATTCGTATTTGTATTCATAAGTTTCCACAATTTTTGCAATTTTGTTTATTTAGTTTAATCATAGCTTAGTTATCTTGATAATTCTTTAAAGTATCATGGTTTTTCTCTCTATATATTGTTCAATTGCATTGCAAAACAATCATTCGTTTAAAGCTAATAGAAAACGAATCCAGCCTCAATTTCAAACCATTCAAATCACTCAACGAATATCCTCCATCTCAAAAAACCGATCCGTGGTATTTATTACTTTACACTGATACAGTGGCGCACCTGACAACTTTGACCTGGGACCAAAATTTTGAAAATGTTTAAATTTTTAATATTATTTTTCAATTTTGACGGGAGCCAAGATTTGTGGTAGTGTAGCCAAAATTAGGCTGGCGACCTTTTAATTAGGCTGGCGACCTTTTTTGACAAAAATTTGTGCTTTTTCTAAGCAAAAACTGCGTTTTACTGACTTTCAATACAAATATTGCTCACAATGGCGGAAGCCAGGGCCCGCCCTTTCTCTAGATTCACCACTGCACTGATACCATCTTATCCTATACTTATTTTTCCCATTATAAAAATTACTGGAAATGTAACATATTAACGTTACACGCCCTTTATAATCGAAACAGGGATAACGTAGAAGTTTAAATTTGGGGGATTATGAAAAGCTGATAAAAAGCATATAACGCAATTATTTCTATATCAACGTTTTTGTCAAATTCCTTATTTCAAATCCTGCGTAATTCAGTGTTCCGAATTCCAATCTTATCGAACATTTTTAACAAACACATTGTCAAAACCTTACCTGTCCATATTTCAAGCACATACTTGTCAAATTTCATCTACTAGATCAGTTTACTTTTTAACCTGCAGGTTTAAATAATTTCACTCGCCTCAATAATCATCCCATTTTTTACAAATTCTAGAAAAGTAGCACAAAATTATTTCTTGGATTTGTTTTCATTTTAAACAGCATAAAACTTCATCTCATTCATTCATGTGATCAAAGCATCAAATACACCGTCCCACCAAGGTTATATATGGATATATTGTAACTTGTTATTTACAAAGCGCTATCTATAACAGCTTCTCATTAGCACTCTCTACGTAGAAATATTCAAGTAATATGCTGAAAACTTTTCAGCAATGTCACAAGTGGTGTCAATCGTTAATACTTATTAAACTCTGATAATGACATTCCAGATCTTCGTCGTTCCATTAACGGACTATTCCAGAAGACAGAACCACTGCAAAATCTCTATCAGCTGTTTTGAGATTGTAACATCTATAACATGTGCTAATCAGCTGATTTAAGATTTTCACGAAACGACATTGATGAAACTTTAATACATTTATCTGTTAAGTATGTTAGAGATAAACAGAAGACAGTTTGTTCCATTCTTCCATCACTCTATTCGGAAAAAATTACAACAGACCTTATGGCTAGAAACTATAGTTAGCTTGAAGTTGTGGTCCTTTGTACGAACATCGTGCGCAAAGAGTAACGAAGGGACAACATCAGAAAGAAGCTGACCATATATTATTCTATATAGCAAAATAAGGTTGGCTCTTAGACGTCTGTAGACCTGAGATGGCAACTCCAGTTTTCTCAACCGGTCCTTGTATGGAAGACCTCTGCAGGATGTTCTCACACGCGTTGCCATTCTGTAAACTTTTTCTAACTCCTCTATTAAACTGGCTCTGTAAGGATTCTATACTTGAACACCGTGCTCGATGTCAGAATGCTATTTGAAATTCCTGGCAATGATTCCTTGCATAGAGTTCGCATTGTGAACTACCTTCAAAACATGACTATTGAATTTTAATTTATCATCTACAATGACTCCAAGATCTGAAACTTTTTTAACAACCGGCAGATGAAGAAATCCGTTAACATCCAAAATGGTGTAGGGTAAACAAGATTTGTTGGAGAAATTTGTTAACAACCGACATTTATTTGCGTTTAATTTCAATTAATGATTGCATTTTATTAGTTTTGTGTTAACGTTCAAGCTCGCATTAAAAGTTTGTTGAAACAGTCTACCGAGAAGTTTAAAAAATTCAAAAATAATTTTGGCACTATAGATACAATTACAATTAATTTCCTTGTTGTTGGTTCATAGACACTGCTAAAAATAATGGGGATAATAAAAATATTAAATATATCAAAACGTATAAGCCTAATGATTAGCTTACAAGAAAATGATTGTACAGATACAATCGATCGACTGAATGACAACTTGAAAGATTTAACCAAGCGGGAAAGAAATGAATCACAATTTCGCTCAGCTGTTGCACAAAAATTTGACAATCTATGGATATTATGTGTTAATTGTGTTTGTTGCAGGATGGCCTTTATATGTTTTCAAATTAAAACGTATAGTTGAGTTTGTTAATTATAATCAGTATTTATTATTGTAATTTGATATTTGTATATCCGCAAATTATAATTTCTTCTCATCGGCGCTCTTGCGGCTGGAATAACGTGTTGTTGAGGATGTCGGTGTTGTCATCATCGTCATTAATGTTGATCTTCATGAAACATTAATTAAATCACTGGACGGTTGTGTTTTTAACCGTTTGCAAAAGTACAAAACAATTTTAAATTGAAATGTATTCCTATTGCGATACAGTACAAGAGGAATACTTTTTTACTAAAAATCGAGAATGCGCTTTACACAAACAAAGAGAATCCTGTAATAAATATACAACGAACGTAGTAATTTTACTTGCGACAAAGAAACTAACAATAAAAAGAAACAATTGATCAAAACAAAGTGAATTATTAGAGCCATCAAAGTAGGAACAACGTAAAGTTAATTTTTGGAGCCAATGATTTAGGAATGCACCGATATAAGTAAAAACAATAGTAAATGCAATAGCAAAACATTGTAAATGGTGAAGGATTAGCGTTGAAAAGTTTTTTCTGTATTAGATAAAAATGAATAAAAAAAATGTTAAAAGCTTTGTTTTCTATACAAATAAGTTCAAAATTTAAAAATCGAAGAAAAAAATTCGATACGAACTATTGAAAAATTGAACCAGAAACAGATCAAA